ACACGGCGCCCTTCAGATCGACACTCCTGTCTGCGAACTCAAGGAGACCCTCACCGGGAAGTATGGCGAAGACTCCAAACTCATCTACGATTTGGCCGATCAGGGTATACATCACCACCGCTTCCACCCCTTACACACCCGACCCAACACTCGCGCTCTCAATGTGTTGTTGTTTTTTGTTGTCTCGGTTTAGGCGGCGAACAGTTGGCCCTTCGGTACGACCTGACGGTTCCGTTCGCCCGATATTTGGCTCAAAACAAGATCACGACAATGAAGAGGTACCAGATCTCGAAGGTGTACCGCCGCGACAACCCGTCCATAACCAAAGGCCGCTTCAGAGAGTTTTATCAATGCGTTCGTTGTTTTTGTTTACTCACGCCTTGTATTTGTGACACAAATTGACCGGCGATTATCTCTTCCCCGACAGGACTTCGACATCGCCGGTGCATTCGATCCAATGATTCCGGACGTCGAGTGTCTGAGAATTGTGTACGAAATCCTTAAGAGTCTACAAATCAACTCATTTGTGATTAAGGTTTTTATTAGAAATGCATTGATATAATCGATGGGTTAATGAAAATGTTTACCATATGTTTTCAGGTCAATCACAGGGAGATATTGGACGGTATGTTTGAGTTATGCGGAGTTCCCGCAGAAAAATTTAAGACTATTTGCTCGGCGATCGACAAACTCGACAAAGTATTTGAATTACTTTCTCTGTTATTGACTTAAAATTGTAATAAAAATGTGATTATTTATTGTTTAGATGTCTTGGGATGAAGTGAAGGCCGAAATGATAGGAGAGAAGGGTTTGGACGAATCGGTTGCCGATAAAATTGGCGAATTTGTTCAGTTAAACGGTTCGACAGAACTCGTGGACAGAATGTTAGCCGAAGAGTTGGGCACTAATGCGAAGGCCAAGAGTGGATTGGAAGCGATTAAACTACTGTTGAAATACTGCGATATTTTTAAGTTGACTGATAATATTCGGTTTGATTTGAGTCTCGCCAGAGGTCTGGACTATTATACGGGTGTCATCTATGAGACAGTGTTAACCCTGGAGGAGGTCGAGTGCGGGAGTATAGCGGCCGGCGGGCGATACGACGGTCTGGTGGGTGTGTTGGCCGATACGCCCCGATGGCAGGTGCCCTGTGTTGGCGTCAGTATTGGTATCGAACGTATATTAGCTATAATGGAGAAGCAATGGGAGGACAAGAACTACTACCCGACCCAAGTGTTGATCGCGTCGATCGGTAAGGGTATGACCGAAGAGCGCATGAAAATGATCATTGAGTTATGGGAGGCCGACATACGGGCCGAACACTCGTTCAAAAACAACGCCAAACTCTTGACTCAATTCCAATACTGCGAACAGAAAGGCATACCATTTGTGATTATCATCGGTGAGGATGAGGTCAACAAAGGGATCGTTAAGTTGCGAAATATCTCAACCAGAGAAGAGGTAAACGACCGTTTCGTTTGTATTTCTAATTATTCAGTGTTTGACACAAATTGATGCCAAAAATTGTTTTATTAAGCGTTTGATTTCTTTGACCCCATTTTACTAATTGTTTTATAAGTTTTTGTTTTTCTGTCTGTTTGTTAATAATTATGTCTGTGTTTTTGCAGAGTGTTATACAACGCGAGAATCTGGTCAACGATTTAAAGAAATTATTTTTGGAATCCACTCAATGATAACTATGCGGTCTTTTATTATAACTTTTGTCTCATCCGTCGAACACTATTATACATCACATTTACATCTATTGATTTACTTTTACATCTAATGGTTTACTTTTTTACTAAATTATTGTCACTCTTTGATATAACTTTCTAATTATAATTATTAATTTAAATTATAAACAATATGTAAATACAAATGAGTTAAGCATTGATTGGAAGGTATATTAATTTGATGGCAATTGAAGTAAACGATTGGTCTGTTTTGAACGAATCGATTGTTTTTTATTTGGTGTATAATTTTGTTATACAGTATAACTTCTCTGTAAGCAATGTTCACAGAGATTCTCTCTATAAGGAAGTGTACTATACAATAAACTATGCGTATAAGTAGACTTGAATTTGTAAAAGTGTTGCCTTAATGGTGATTGGTTTTGGAGAAATTATACTGTTTTATATATGGATTAAAGTTAATGGAGTTTTTATTTATCCACTTTTATATTGAAATATGAATTAATTTGTTCTGCGACTAATGCTATCGACCAAATCCATAGTTATTTGTAAACAAGTATTTTTTAGTTAAAATATTCATATTGTTATATGGATTACAATCTATACAATAAACATTTGACTAAATTATTTTCAAAATTGTAAAACATTTATTTAATTAAACTACTAATTTTTAAAAACTATTTGTAACTTAAATAGTTTTATCATTTTATTTTAAGAGCTATTGCCTAATATTCAATCGTTTATTTATTAAATGTATAGATATTTATTAATTATTTTAAATGAATTAAAACTAGTGTTNGAGGTGCAGAACAATGCTCTTCATATCAACCACTTTCCAGTCTTCGGCTTTTTTACCGCCGATATCGAGGAAGGGGTCCTTCACGTGTTTCTTCGCTTTGTATACTTTGTTGAAATACTCCATAAATGCCTGAAATGAATGGCATTAAAGACACCGAAACTATTGCTTCAAATATAACACACGACTGGAACTAATAGGACATACATTTAAGTGCCGTTTGGATGCGGCCGACCCTAAGACCATATATCGACAGTAATTGAGTTCTTTGGGCACTTCAATGACCGCAATGTCTTTGATGTTTTCGCTTCGCAACAACTCAACCAATTCTTGGACATCGAAAACACCGGTCACTCCTCTCTTCAACTCCTTGTCTGCGCTCTTCTTTGTCTTTTGTTGATATAAATAGATCTCTTCGCTGTCGTACTCGTGAGGGATCGGTTCCGTAGCGGTGGACGAGAGCTCTTCAGTGATGTCGTAAATCACTTGCGAGTCTTCGTCCGAATACTTCTTAAACTTAGTTTCAGTGGATCTCTTCAATTGTTTGGATACTTCTTCCTCGTTATCACTCTTTGTGTTCGTTGTCTTATTGTCAGACTTTGTGGACAGAGATCTGTCACTTGTGGGCCAATTGGACCGAAAGCCGCAAACGGTTTGATTGTTTTGTATATAATTTTGGTGACAATTAATGAAATGTTTGTCTTTCACTGCAAACCAATGGCTACTAAAACATGTAAATCGCAAACAATTATTACTTACAAACAAATGTCTGTTATTTCGGACACATTTTGTCAATACATTTAACGCGAAATGCATTTCTTGTGTTTTGTTTTGTTTTTAACAATCAATTCATTAAATCATTATTTATTTGAAATTCAATACAAAATGCAATGAAATGTATGAATGAATGTGTGATAAAAGTAATGCATTGAAAGTGGCATTCATTGCATTCATTGGTCGCAGCCTTTCATTGCATTTCAAAGTTTGAAATGATTTTTTTGAATACTTTTGGAGCGAAATATTGGGTTTTGTTTTTCATTTCAATCAATGCTTTTAAAATACTTTAAATACCTTTTTATTTATTAGAAATTTTAATTTTTTTGTAAAGTATGGTTTGATTTTAGAAATTACTTAATTAATAGTTTATAAACTTTTTATTAATAATAATAAAGTACTTTATTTATATAAAAGTAAAAGTTCTAATAAGTGATTATAATTTTGGTATTAATTAATCAATAGAAAAGACAACGATTTAAATTTAATTAAAATTTATCAAATTCACAATTTAAATTAAAATTATATATTGTTTTGCATAACAATTAAATTAATAAAATATTACAAACTATAAATATAGGAAAGTTAAAACTCTATTGATTGCAACCATCGATAACATGTAAATTACAATACTATACAATAATAAAAGCAAGTTTTATAGCGAAAAACAAATAAAACTAGATCGTTGTGTATTAACGCATTGATACCATGAGCAAATAATTACTGTATAATTAAATTAATTATAGATTAATTGTAAACTAGTTTCTCGATGTCCTCGATGTATGGCATTGGGGGACGTCATTGACGCCCATTATTGGGCACATAATGTATGGGAAGGTTATTGAGAAATACCATTCACTCAATGATGTAATGAATGCTTTGATTCAGTAATGCATTGAATCTGTGTTCAAAACACGTGGAAAATTAAAGCCCTATTCGTGTCGACAGAGAAAAGCAAACCATTGATTGCATAACCCATTGAATTGTCTTTCAGTATTGTTTGTTGTCTTTGGATTAAGTGAAGCAAACATTGCGAATATATTGCGAAGAATAGCAGTAATGAGTAAACAGAAGAGCAGTTCCCGAGCGCTGAAGACGGCTAAAGGGATGCGAGACTACGAACCGCACCAATTGGCGGTCAGAGAGCGGGTCTTCGCCGCCATCAACGACTGCTTCCGAAGACACGGCGCCCTTCAGATCGACACTCCTGTCTGCGAACTCAAGGAGACCCTCACCGGGAAGTATGGCGAAGACTCCAAACTCATCTACGATTTGGCCGATCAGGGTATACATCACCACCGCTTCCAC